AAACTGATGTGACCATTCTTATATACTAACCAGACATATTTTTCACCGCTTATGAGAAAGGTGAAATTATATCAAAACATGTTTAAAAATATAAATAAAAATCATTATTTATTGGGAAATAATTAAATATTTTATTATTTTTTGAAGAACAATTTTTTTTACTGATTTATTGTAAAATCTTCGAAATTAATTATATAAAAGAAATTCAGGTCTGTATCAAGATAATGGTAAAAAGGGGCTTGTCTAAAGAGCTTCGTCAGTCTTCGTTACCACTCGGTAAGGATCGGGCAATTCCGAACGTTCAACTTCGGCAAATTTCGTCGAATCTCGTTAACTTTGATATTTCTTTTTCAATTTTCATATCAAATATATCAAAATCTAAAATAATTATATCATTTTATACAATTCTAATTACGAAATTTGAAATATTTGGTTAGAAAAATTGATAAAGAGCTTATTAAAATTTGACATTTTTGTGTTTCAATAAAAAGATTTCAGATTTCGTAAATATTATATCAAATTTTCTTTCCAACTATATTAAATATTCTTATTTTAATCTCAATCATTCTTAAAAATAGTATCGAAAATCGTTATCATGCCAAAATGTTCCGCAATTGCAACCAAATATACTAAAAAGTAACACCATAATATCAAATATTGCTACAAACTTTCTTTCCGTGTGGATCTGTCATTTTGAATTTTTGAAATCTGAATTCAGATTCGTGATCAGCGACCACAATAACCCCCGAGTAACGAAGTTCAAGCAAATCCATCCGCTGGGTTTATCAGAGGCACGAAAGGGTTGAGATTTGACGATTTCTGCCAAAAAACCGTCTGACAAAAAAAATATATGACTCTAATTTTGTGACCACTATTAATTTTGTTAATTTAACATGTTGAATTGTATAAAAAATATAGTTTCAACCTCAGAATCAAAATTTGCCAACTCAACTTTTCTGGAACTGAATATGACAATTTAAATGAAATGAGCTAATACCCACACAGTACGATTTCTTCCAGGAAGCTTCCGAACAGTTCAAAATGTCTGCCTCAAAGAAAACTATCACTGGAATCTTCCACCGCAATATCGAGGGAAACTTCTAAATATATTCCAGGAAGCTTCCAGTTAAAAATTAATAATTGTACAAAATGAAAAAAATCAATTTCTTGAATTTGAAGTCTCATACCTAACCGCACCATTTTTCAGAAACCTAGCATTGCGAAAGTACCCAGATAACACTCGTGCGCCGCAAGTTTTGCACGCTACGTGCACAGTACAAAGTGATGGTCATAACGCATGCATTTCGTTTGCACTTTGCAGTCGCGTGTGAAGGCTATTTCAATGCAAGCACAATCCGAGCTATTTCGCTGGCATTGCATGCGACTTACCACGCACGAGCATGAAGGCATGCACTTTCATTTCATTTCCATGTATTGAATTTAGGAATTATGACCAAGATACAAAAAAGTTTCAGTTTTCATCGATTTTCAAAATATGTTAACGAAAAAAAAATTTTTTAATTTATTTATAAAAAATACCAATTTTTTAAATTTGGGCCCGATTTTAAACAATTTTTTTTATTTTTACAGACATGAAAATGATACGAAAATTTTGTAATAAGTTGTGGAGTTGGCCTGATGATCCTTTTGTTTATATAATTTGTTTAAAGAAAATTTTACTCTTTTTTCATTTTTTATTTTTCAAAATAAAATGTATTTTAATTTGCTTTTCTATGAGTTTACTAAAAGATCCTAGTGCCCAAAACATTTTTCATTTAAAAAAAAAGGAAAAATCTTTTTTTAACCAAATTACCTATATAAACAAAAGGATCATCAGGCCAACTCCACAACTTATTACAAAATTTTCGTATTATTTTCATGTCTGAAAAAATAAAAAAAATCGGACCCAAATTTAAAAAAATTGTTATTTTTATAAACAAATTTAAAATTTCTCTTTTTTGTTAACATATTTTGAAAGTCGAGGAAAAACTGAAACTTTTTTGTATCTTGGTCATAATTCCTAAATTCAATACTTTAAGAGTTAGATGTTATTAAAATTAAATGTATTTTTAAAAAACTCGAAAAAAACATATTTTTAAAAATTCATAACGCGAAAATTTGTGCACTTATAAAATAATAAAAAAATTCTCAAACCTTTTTTTCTATAAAGATAGAAAAAAATATATTTACTGAATTTAAAATGTCATGGGCATAAATTTCACGTGAAATCGTCAATATATAAATTGTTCAAATTAAATTTATATATGTAAAATATCTAGTTTAAATTTTATTCCGTAGTTTTTACTTATTTTAAGAAGTCTGATTTATGATTCTATAAGTTTTATTGTTTCCGATCTTTCCGATTATTTTAGACAAATTCCGTGTACAAATTTATTATATTGTCTGTTTGTTATATCTATAAATATTAGAAAGATATTATATCATACAATTATAGTTGTATGTTTTATAGGTAATTTTAAATTTGTATGCATACTTAAACATAACCTTAAAGTTTTTGTGTGGAAAATTTCGTTTAAACATAATTTTATAATAATAATAACAATAATAATAATAGTGAGAAAGAAAAAGTATTATTTTATATTTACGCATTTTTACCTATTAAATAGATTTTTAAATACTATAATTTAAAGATAAAATATTTTTTTGAAATAGAAATTAAATGCACTAAACATGCATTTCAACGTCACACGTGTGACTCACACGCCGTGCGTTACGTGTTTCACATATGAAGACGCATCTTCATGCTCAAATGATGTCACGCCGTGCTGGTTAATCGGCACGCGTGCGAGCAAATTGTCTAGCAATGGTTTTGCATCTTACATACTCATTTATTTGGAATTTTTTAAATTTATTATTTACTTTTACAAGCTAAACCTAAAATCTCAGTTTATTATGAGAATTATCAAGATTCTCGATACTGACTACAATTTTCCTTCATTGTAATCCTTTTTCTTTTAATTTTTTTGTACATTTTCTAAAATTTTCGTTTCTTAAATTGCTTTTTTACCATTTATTCGAAATTTTCATTATTCAAAATTCCTAAAAAAATTTATTTCTTTCAATTTCTTTAACGTTAAACATGTCGGAGATTTTTTTGACTGTACTAATCATTTTTTGCTTTACTAAATTTAGCAAATAAAATGTTTGATAGTCAGCAATACATTTTATTAAAATCTATATATTACGAGAAACAACTTAAACTAAATACATATTATATATTGTAATTTTAATAATATAATATTAATAATTGATATAACTAATATATGCAGCCGCGATAAAAAATGAATTTTGAAATTTCCCGACATTTTCGTCAACTAATAAAATCACTCACAGCGTAAAGGCAAGATTTTTTTTCTGACAGTTGCTCGTGTATCATCTCGGTTAGGGTATTGCGTTTGAATCTGTTGAACCCGCGTTCGATCCCCAATCCCCCTCAATTTATTTTCAACATTACTTTCGCAATGCTAGGTTTCTGAAAAATGGTGCGGTTAGGTATGAGACTTTAAATTCAAGAAATTGTTTTTTTTTTTAATTTTTCACAATTATTAATTTTTAACTGGAAGCTTCTCGGAAAATATTTGGAAACTTCCTTCGATATTGCGGTGGGAGATTTTCTTTAGATTCCAATGATAGCTTTCTTTGAGGTGGACATTTTAAATTTCTTGGAAGCTTCCATTTGAATTTCACCAATCCTCCCAATCTTCTTGCTGTGTAAAATATATTTATTTTTCACTTACATGTAAGTACTTAATTTAGAACTGTGATTTTGAACCAATTGCCCAGTTAGACAATTAAAATATAAGTGAAAAACTTGACCTATTGCAATAGAAATTCCTTTTAGAACAAATTTAGTGTCATACTGGTTGAAAACAATCTGCAGAAAACATGACATGATTTTTAAGAACAAAAATTAATGTCTTTCAAGAAGAAATAAAATAGAAAAGAAATCTTACCATAGAACAATGAAAGGACACTAATATAATCAGTATTCCCACGGTCAAAAGTAAACAAATTGAAGCAAACGAATTCACTTGATCAATCATTCTGTTATAGAGAAAATTAAATATATTAGTAAACAATAATAAACTATATTATTATCTAATAACTGGTGCTGCTAAACTATTTTTTCACTGTGTAATAAATATTAATATCATATACAAACTGAAGTAATCTAACGTATGTTATAACACATATACGAGCTTTATTATACATTTCTGTTCCATCGGTTATTTCATTTGACGTTTCTTCATCGATCATAATATTCATTAGTTTATATCTAAAAGAAAATGATACAAAATTTTTTTTATTATATTTGAAAATTACAATTATCCTGAAAATTAAAACCGACAAAGTATGATCCTATTTTATGTGGAAGTTCCCATGTAAGAGCCCATTTTCACTGTTTGGATAAATTTAATCTTCCGAGAGGTTCAAGGCAGTACATATATTCTGCGTCTGCGTAGAAACTGTATACAGCTATATAAAAAAATTCTGCACAAACGCAGAATATATCTTCTTCTTCTTGGTTAAATGACCTCTTGTAAAACAAATAGCCAGTACATAAATGTAATTCCAGGATTTGCAGAATGATACGTAGATAAGTAAAGGCAGGTTATTTCGTAACATCCGGTATTTAGCTTAGGGCGCACTCACACCTTTTGGCTGCCTGCCTGGAGGAGTTGTCATGGCAACGTGCAGGAGTAAGAGAGAGAGAAAATTCAAATTTGAATTTACTATCTCTGTTACTCGTACACGTTGCCATGACAACTCCTGCAGGTAGGCAGGCAGCTGAGAGGTGAGAGTGCGGCCTTAAGCTCCAGTGCACACACCAGATAGTAGTAGTATTAAATTTAACGTTGGCACCCATACTGCATTGCGCATGTATATTTGGCCATGACCAGGTAAATGGATGGAAAGTCCCCGACATAACTTCTTCTTTGTACTGATAGATATCAGTACATTTCTGGGCCTCCTGAATACTAAATTTGTAAATTTGCACGTTTCAGAAATCTAAATACGGGTGAGACAATCTTCGGAATAGGGTTACTTAAAAATTGAACACTACTAAATGGAGGAGGGCATTTTAGGGCTCTTGAGAGAGCTTTTATTAGGTCCGGTCGGAAAGGATCAAATCTGGGACATGCCCATAGAATGTGATCAAAATCTTCTTCGATGTTCGGGCATTGTGGACATTTTCCTGACTGAACAATGTTCTTCCTGGCTAGACTGAAGTTTAGATTGTAGTGATTGGATCTAACTCGGCAAATTGTGGTGATCCATAGTCTACGAGCTACAAAGTTCGCAAACCATGGTTTCTTCGTAGGTTTGTAAAAGTATTGCATGTATTGCGTTCCTTTATTTTGACCTATTTCCAGAAAATATGTATTACAACTATCAACCAGTTGTTTTCGGGCTAAACATGAGAAATCAGTAAACGAGAGTGGTATGTTCAATGTAACGGGCTCAGTAGATGCGTCTTTAGCTGCTTTGTCTGCTTCCTCATTTCCGTCGATTCCTGTATGTCCAGGGATCCAGACGAGAGTTACTGGACGGTTCAATTTTGACAGTACATTTAGTCGGTTTCTTATTGTGAGAATTATGTATGATTTAATTCGGTAAATGTTTTTAGAAGCTAGGTTGTTTAAAACACTAAGAGAATCTGTGAAAATTACTGTATTAGATAGGTTTGAATTGATAATATGATCTAGTGTGAATAAAATTGCGAATGCTTCGAGTGAGAAAACTGAGGCGTGATTTTGAATTTTAAACTTGAAACTTAAATTCAAAGAAGGGCAGACTGAAGCGCATCCAGCTACTCTGTCCGTTTCTGATTTAGAACCATCAGTGAAAAATAAAGTGTGATTATGAAAGTTGTAGTTAACAAGATCTTTAAATAAATTTGAGGCGCTAGAGGAATCTTGCAGTGATTTGCCCCAATTAAGGACGATCTTGGGAGTGAATAAATGATCCTCAAAGAGGAATTCGAAGTAAGGATCGATGTCTTTACTTCTAATAAGTTCGCTATAATTTTTCGTTTTTTCATATGCAATTAAAAGAGGATAATTAAATCTAACATTTGAGTTAATAGTGAGTTGAGATAATTCTGATAATTTAGCTGGTAAGGGGTGATTTGAATTTGAAAAGATTCTGAAAAGATATTTTTTAGAAAAGAAATTAAATCTTGATCGTAAAGGGGGCTCACAACATTCAGCCATCATCACATTGATCGGAGTACTTTGTCTGTAACCAATAGCTAACCTTAAAGCTCGGTTACGAAGTTTTTCTAGTCTTGAGAAGTTCTTGTGAGTTTTAAAATTTGCAGCGAGTGAACCATAGTCTACTAGACTTCTGATTAAAGAGTCATAAATGTGAAGCAGCAGATAAGGGTCTGCTCCCCACCATGTACCTCTAAGGACTTTTAGGATGTTTAGAATTTTTGTCACTCTGTCGCAGAGATAATTAAAATGAGTATCAGAGGATCCGGATTCGTGGAAAAAGACACCGAGGTATTTTGCTGAAGGTGATGGTTTAATAGTAAATTCGTTTAGGGATAAGGAAAATGTGGGATCGTCTATGTTAAGTTTTTGGTTATTAAATATAACTAATTGGGTTTTAATTGGACAGATTTCTAAACCTCTATCAGATAAAAATTCAGACATTATATTAAGGCAGTTTTGAAGGGAGGCAATAATTTGATTTGGATCATGAGAACGGGAAATAACAGACCAATCGTCCGCGAATTCATAAATTTTGCAATCTGCAGGAATAATAGTGTTTAGGTCCCTTGTGTATATTCCGAAATTAAGTGGACTAAGGATACTTCCTTGTGGGACGCCTATAGTGCTGTTTCTTGGGCCAATAATCTCGCCGTTTATTTTGAAGAACATATTTTTACATTTAATTGAATCGTATATGAAGCGGGTTATTGATTCTGGAATGCCAATTGTCCTAAGATCTTCTGCTAATATGTTCGGTATTACACTAGGGAAGGCTCCTTTAATATCGAGGAAGAGTGCACCAATGAATTCTCGTTGGGACAAACCCGACCATATTTCTGTAGAAATTAGCGCGAGGTTATCCGAACATGATCTTCCTTTTCTGAATCCAAATTGATATGGACTCAGTATTTTATCGCGTTCTATTAGCCAAAGAAGTCTGTTGTAAATGAGTTTCTCGGTGATTTTGAAAAGACAAGAAGCCAAAGAAATAGGTCGAAATTTTCCGGGTGTGGATTTAGGGATGAAGAAAATAAGAAAATTGTTCCAAGATGGAGGATATTTACGACTGGTAATGATTCTGTTAATTATTGATAAAAGAACTAGTAAAACTTCGTCAGGAAAGTGTTGGATTGTGTTAAAGTCTATTTTATCAAGGCCTGGAGATGATTTAGTTTTACTTGAGTTAACAGCTAATTTTAATTCAGAGAAGGTGAAAGGGGTTTCTAAAAAAGGGTTATTATAAAAGTTGTTTGGGAAGTTTTCATAAAATGCGGTAGGAGGGTAAAGATCTTTTATTAGTGAATGTAAATTATCTATTGTTTCTTTTTCTGCTGAGCAGGAGGCTGTTTGTGGTTGGGTAAAACGATTTTTAAATGCTCTTACTACAGACCAAATTTTATTGAGAGGGGTATGTCTATCTAGGGAGTTACAGAAATCTCTAAAGGATTGGCGTCTGGCTTCATTTGTTGTTCGCTTAACTATGGCATCTGTCTTCTTGTATTTGATAAAATTTTCGTAATTTGATTGTTTTTTATAATTTCTTAATGCTACTTTTCTGTTTTTTATTACTTCATCACATTTGTTATTCCACCAAGGTGCTGGAACAATAGGTTTTTTTGGTAATCTGTGGTTATCGTTATTATTGTTTTGTGTTGTTTTACGTTGTGGACAAACTAGGTTGATTATTGAATCTACAATGTGTACGAATTGATTATAGTCTGCAACTGGATCATTAGTGTTTAAAAGTTCTGAATTTAATTCTATAGATGTTTTAAGTTTGGAAGAAAAAAGATGCCAATCCATTGATCGTAAATTGTATTTGTGTTAGGAAAATGATGAGATAGGTATTGAAATACCTAGTGAAGTAAAGATTGGGAAGTGATCACTGCCTAGAGAATCATGGTAAACGTTCCAGGAAGAGGATGTGTATAAATTCGGAGATATAAAACTAAGATCCAAGTCAGAGCCAGGTTCGGTGGACGGCTCACAAATGTGGGAGAGTTATCATTTAAAAGGATAAGATCGATGTCATCTAGTTCTTTAAAAAGATTTCGTGCATTGGAACACACATAAGGGCTGCCCCAAAGTGTGCTGTGACAATTAAAATCTCCTCCTATAAAAATTGTGTCAAAGCCTGTATTTTTAACTGAATTAAAGAATAGTTTCCAATAGTTTGGGGGGGTTTGTTTTCCAGGAACTCTGTAAACTGAAATTATTAAGATTTTGCCCAAAGAAGTATCGATTGAGACAGCTAGTGTCTCGAATTCGTCTTCTCTGGTAAAGATTGTGTGAATTTTAGAGAAAATTAAATTTTTACGAATGACGATGGCGAGACCACCGCCTTTATTCACTGTTCTATCATGTCTAATTACATTAAATTGTTTTAAAGTATTTAAATTATCTCTTTTATTGGGTTTTAAAAAAGTTTCGCAAACCAAGAGTATATCAAATTGTTGAGAAAGTTTCTGAATTTCGTGTGTCTTGTTAAAGACGCCACGACAATTCCATTGCATTAAATTTAATTTAGATAAATTAGTCATTATTTTGGTATTCAGGGTTAAACAGTAAATGAAGGATTTCTGTGATTGTCTTAAGGAGATTCTGGTTACGTTTCATTGCATCTGGTGGGATATTAGAAGAAAGAGAATTGATTTGTTCATTGATCATGGAGACGAAGAATGCAGGAAAGGATTCCGGATGCAAAATTAGTTTAACTAAATTTAGCACTCTTCGGCCCAAAGAATGCGTCCTTGCTGGTAGTAATAGCACACATTTTGTTTGTGTATGTAAAATACATCAAAATGTTAAGCTGATGATAGATGGTCCCGAATTGAAAAAATTATCGAAAGCAGAAGATAAGTTATCATTTCTTGGTTCTTATAAAGACATTTTAAAGTACATGGTCTGTGATCCTTCCTCTCCTTCATGTAACCTCCTTTTATGTGACAAATGCACTAGCTTTGAGAAATTAATTGATGTTCTAATTAACCTGTTTGACGATAATTTTATCAACTCGGTTGTATATCGAAGTTGGATTTCAACTGATAGAACAATGATACAGACCTTAACCGATACAGCTGATGATTTCATCGAGAAATTTTTAACAAAGCAAGTGCTCTTAAAGCAAGATTTCATTTGTAAGCAGCAGAGCAAATATTTTTCAGATTTGAAATCATCCCTAATGCCAGGTGATTTTATTGTAAAGGGTGATTTTTCTGAAAATTACCAAGTTGTCATACAAGATACAAGATACAAGTTGTTATACTTCAAATTACGTTACATCCCTTTGTTGTTTATTACAATGATGGGAGTAATGTAAAACATGATTGTTTTGCAATAATTTCAGAAGATTTGAAGCACGATGCAAATGCAATAAATTTATTTATTCAAAAACTAATACTGAAATTAAAGGAAATGGACAATTTGATTAGAAAACTGATTTACATTAGTGATGGAGCAGGAAGTCAATACAAAAATAAGTATAATTTTATAAACCTTTGTTATCACTATAATGACTTCAAAATCTTGTCAGAATGGCACTTTCATGCAACTTCACACGGGAAGAGTCCCTGCGATGGTATTGGAGGTACATTAAAAAGAATGGCTACCCGTGCAAGTCTTCAAAATGTAAATAAAGAATTTATTTCAACAGCAAAACAATTTTATGAATGGTCACTGAAATCGATTGAAAACATTACTGTGATGTTTTGTACAACAGTCGAACATAACTTAAACGAAGAACGTCTAAGAAATCGTTTTTCTCAAGCTTGCCCAATTAAAGGAACTAGAAATTTCCATTGTTATATTCCAAAAAGTGAAAAAGAAATCCTGTGCAAAGTATACTCTGCATCTAAAGATAACAAAAAGAGAAAATTAATAATATCAATCAGCCCTTTTAAGGGCTTAATAATATCAACTATGAGCAAACATTAACTTTCTTTTAGAAAATTTGACCCTAATAGGTTTATCTTCCACAATGATAATTAGAGGGTGGTTAAATTTATTTATAAAATGTTTATAACGATAGTGATTATTTATTTTATTTATTATTTTGTTAGTAAATATATAAATAACTTAATAATCAAAATATAAGTAAGGATTAACCAAAAAAAAATAAACTGAGATTGTGCGACACATGGACTTTAGACGCGACGCGTTCTCGTGAGTGCAAAATACGTGCGCTGCAGGACAAAAAGTTCGATATAGCGGTTAGTTTTAAAGTCTCCAGCAATTTTTTTTATGAAAAAATTCAGGAGAAGATAAGGAATCCAAATATCATAATTAAAAAAAATCGAAGGGGTGCTTAAGACCGAAAAAATGGAATCAAAATTTTTTTTGACTTTTTTCGGGGCAATTTTTCAAAATTTTTTTTGGCTTTTATTGCATTAAAATTATTGTTAAAACAATTATTAGTCCCATAAATAAGAACAAAATCGATTAAAACGTCTCAGAGTTATGCATTTTTGAAAAAAAATTACTCAAAACTTTAATGCCTGGTAAAACCCACAATTTTGAAAATTTTGAAAAAAATTTTTTTGTATATGTTTTCTGTTATAACCCTACCGAAAGAGTGGTACTGGATTGGTACTGGGAAATTGGAACTGAGGGCTCAGTACCAACTCAGTACTAATTTGGTGCATTTTGGTACTGAAATGGAACTGGGAAATTTACCTGCGAAAAGGGTCGAGTTACCGTTAATACCCTCATAAAAGTGAAAAGCGACTAGCTTTTTCAATATGTTTAAACTAAAACTTTATATTTATTTCAATATTATATTTGTTTTTCATGGATTTATATTATTTTCATACATTATTATGCATATGATATTTCCTTTGTCAGCTAAATTCAAAAATGATGTCCTTTTTTTTATCAAACTTAAGGTATACGAGATAAATTATAACTTTTTTAAATGTAATTATTTTATGATAAATTTTAGATATTAATAATCTGGAAATATTAACGAATCTGAATATATATTTTTTAAAGTTGAGTTATTAAAATTACAAATTTTTTAAGCAATAAAACTCGGGTTAAAATTTTAATCCTTCGACAAAGGACCTAGGGGTCTATTGTTCAAGGAGGGATTGCAATATAATTTCCAAACTTAACAGAAATTTTCTACAAACTATTATGTTTTTTTTTGCTGTTTTACACGTATTTCGCGAGAGACGGTTTGTTGATCTTATATACCTTTAAAACTATTGTTAAAGTACTTTAAAAATGTCTTCTTATGGGTTATCAGGTAGTGGTACTGAAGTGGAACTCAAGCCAAGTCCAATTCAGTACCATTCCAGTACCACTCTTTCGGTAGGGAAAACATTACATTTATACCAAGTTTAACAAAAATCGAAAGACCCATGACCAACATTGATTTTTTTGAGAAAATTTGACACAACACCGAGACGCTTGCTATTCACCGAAATGTCAGTACGTCGAAAAGCCAATACGTCGACCACTCAAAATGTCGAAAAGCCAAGACGTCGAACAGTCAATACATCGAACGGACAAAATATCGATAAGCTAAAATATCGAAAAGCCAAAACAACGAACAGCCAATACGTCGAACTGACAAAATGTCGAAAAATTTTATTGACTTAACTATAATTATACTTGAGTCAATAAAATTTTTCGACATTTTGTCATTTCTTCGTATTGGCTGTTCGATGTTTTGGCTTTTTGATATTTTGGCTTATCGATATTTTGTCCGTTCGATGTATTCACTGTTCGACGTCTTGGTTTTTCGACATTTTGTCTGTTCGACGTATTGGCTTTTCGACGTACTGACATTTCGGTGAATAGCAAGCGTCTCGGTGTTGGGTCAAATTTTCTAAAAAAAATCAATGTTGGTCATGGGTCTTTCGATTTTTGTTAAACTTGGTATAAATGTAATGTTTTATAACAGAAAACATATACAAAAAAATTTTTTTCAAAATTTTCAAAATTGTGGGTTTTACCAGGCATTAAAGTTTTGAGTAATTTTTTTTCAAAAATGCATAACTCTGAGACGTTTTAATCGATTTTGTTCTTATTTATGGGACTAATAATGGACATTTTGTCTATTCGACGTATTGGCTTTTCGACATTTTGTCCATTCGACAACTTGCCATTCGACATTTTGTCTGTTCGACGTACTGACAGTTCGGTGAAAAGCAAGCGTCTCCAAAGCACCCCCACCATGTTGAGGATTGACACGATTCTTTCTGAAGGTAAAATAACCTGGCAATTGCCAGACAGCAGTACGTGGAGTAAGCCAAATTTCAGTATCAAACAACAAGAACGTCCAGGTCGAATGAGTGTAAAATAGATTTGACTTCCGGACGTTTATTTAGAATACTATGAGCGTTCCAATTGCCGAATTTGATCAATTTTTTCAAGGACATAGTTGAAGATCCAAAGACACATATTAAAAATATAAATATATATATATTGGAAAGTTTAAAACAAGAGAACTACAACCAGATCCAAAAACAATCTACCTATTAACTATATTAAAGAAATTTAAAAGCAAACTGGCAACTACAAGCAACATGTAAAGACTTGCAGCAAAGTATTTCTAATAATAATGTGGCGGCAACAGAGCAACGCCTCAAAATCTGCAACAAAATGATTATAATTAGAAGGCAGCAACTAAGCGGTGCAACAACTAAGCAAATATCAGAGATTGCTATCAAAATCTGACAAAAACTAACGATTGCAGTCAGACACAAGCAGAAACAATAAAAAAAATGAACAACAAAACAAAAAGCAAAAAAACGAAGAAAAACAACAACAAAGAAAAATAAAACTGTGGCCAACTCACTTTATTAAAAGATAAATATTAAATTTAATGAAAGAAAACAAAAAACAAAAATTAACATAAAAATAATTACACCCTATCATGTAATGCGGAAAGAATTACCGATTTATATTGATTAAGAACAATTAAAGAATTCACTACTTGAATTTCTTCAGCCAAACGATGTTTGTTATAAGCCCTTGAAATTTCAAGAACATGATCGATAGGCAGTGATTGATAGCGGCGGGGAGTAGATGTGCCAGTCTCAGTTACAGTTGGAGCAGATGAGTTCTGACAAACATCTCCAGAGTTATGCAGAGAGGTGGAGGGATTAATTCCAGAAATATGTGGAGAGGGGGGAGGAGAAATTTCTTCACATAAGGCAATATTATTTAAGAGGTCCGGATTTTCCGCATAAAAGGACATTTTCGCCTTATCTTTATTACAGTTCGTGGTATATCGGAATTTGAGGAAACCGAAATCTAGTTTGAAAATAGGACAATCAGAGGAAGAAGCCATGTGATTCTTTTTGCAATTGTTGCAAGAAGGGGGCAGACGGCCATTTGGACATACCGAGGTAAAATGTCTACCCGCACAAAATTTACAAGACGGGTATGCCGATCTGCATTGATTTGCAACGTGACAAAATCTTTGGCAGCGGAAGCATCTCCTCGGACGTTGTATGACAAGGGTAATTTGGATCAAATATCCGCCCAACTGAATATTCCTAGGGACTAAAGGACCATTGAAGGTAAACTCGTCTCTATCTAAAATATGATTGCCCTGATCGATTACTCTTTTTATGTTCAAAATATTCGTTAAATCACCATCCTCGCAAATACGAATTATGTCCTTAATGGATCTAGAAGAGAGGAAAGCATTTGTAAAACCTTTTTTCTAGGAAATGATTCGGGAATAAAAATTTTAAATCTAGCCAGGATAAGATCCTGACAGGCCACAAGACTGTTTGCACTCCGCGAATCTTCACACTCAATTTTCAATTGATTCTTACCACTTCTAGTAACAGTCTTTTTACCACGTGTGTAGGGAGAAAGAAAGTCAATAACAGATACAGGATCCATTTTACCTATATTCCTGCCACAATGAGTACTCTCCATAAGGACTAAGTACGGAGCAGGGCTACTTGTGTTATAAAAAGGGGTATTTGCCTCGTTATGCCATTCGAGGTCATCCTGATACCAAACTACCATCACAGGAGGATCGGAGGTATTAGAAGCCCTATCATTGATACGAGAGGAAGGAAGACCTAAATCAGAGGTAAGTGCATCATTCTTTTTATTTCATTCATTTGTAGGCCGTTTAGAAAGAATACGTAGAACAAAAAAAAATTTTTTTTCTCTTTTTTTTATTAAAAAAAAAGGAAACACGATAAAAACCGAAGCTAGATCAATTCCAGAGTTTTAGCAAATTACAAACTAAAAACAAAGTCAAATAAGTTTAACGTTTAAGAATTAGAATTTTATGATTATGAAATTGAGCAAATGTGTGGAATTAAGAAAAGGAAATGCAGAAAATAGGAAAGCGGAGTGCAGCAAAATTGATCATCTCAGTCCTCATAAAGCTGGGTCCACATCAACACTCGATCCTTACATTAAAGAGGTTCAGCTTTTACAAGAGAGCAGATTGGAATAGATTTAAAATAACACATAAGGCAGCAAACACAAGCCGCGTGTGAAAAGTAAGCGGTAAAAATATCACAAGAAACACAAAACACAACCGTCCAAGACAACGTCCCAGAATGGAATTCCGCAGAATATATCTACTGCCTTCAACCTCTCGGAGGATTAAATTCATCCACACGGTGAAAACGGGCTCTACACAGTAAAAACAAAATCTTCTTTTAAGCTTATAAGTTGTCTTTTTTCAAGATGTAAACGGAAGTAGATCATATTGACTGAAAATCAGTACTCAAAAAATGTTTAAAAAGAATACCCTTATCTTACTATAAGTAAGATGTCATACGAGCTGAAATTTAGCTCTAAGCTTGTTGAAGAACTGAAATTCAGTTAGGTTTTAGACTATCATTTAGTCTTATGTTAAAAGAGGGCTGAAATTAAGCTTCCTTACAGACTGTCTTTCAGCGTTAACCTGGTGTGATAATAATCCTAAATTATGACTTAAAAGCATATTAGAATTTTGATATATATATATATATATATTTATATTACTTATAACAATTTTTTCTAATTTATAAATTTGCATTATTTAAATGAAAATGACGAGGAACTTTTATATTTAAAAAAATCTTGTCATTTTCATTTTCAATTCTGCAAACTAAATTTAAAAAATAACATTATACGTAATATATATATATATATATATATATATATATATATATATAAAGTTAGGAATTAACAGTTTAGAATAATTTAAGCTCTTCCAACAAGTTCCACACAGTTTTGTACTTTTGGTAATATTTAGCGACTTTTTTTCTAAATAGTATAGCTGAGACAAAGGTGAAAGATATGCGTGCTTTGCTGGAATATCCGATATTAAAAACCCAGTAAAAAAACCCATTCTTGTGAATTATAAATGAATAAAACCAAAATTAAAACACGAGAAAATCATTTCTCAAACACGCTTCACTGTACGCGTACGCTATGGCGTTTTCACAACAGACGTTTTGCCTGTGACGTCACAACTACCACTTTAAGACTCGGCGGACTGACACCCAGCTCAAGTAAAGACTTTTAAAAAGTCACTGTCGTCTTTTTTTTACTTAAGACCAGTGAATTAAAAATCAGTCGAATTATAAGCTTATTTATAGTAAGAGAACCACTAACTCTTATTTTAAGCTAATTTTCATTATTAAATAAAGTTTCTTGCTTAAAATAAGTTAAAAATTAAAGTAAGCTTACATTCGGTTTCAGATTTTGTTTTTACTGTGTATAATATATAAAATGTTTCTAAATTCTAACAACGAAGATACTCGAAGCTTATGTATCGCCGATTTGCTTGTTCTTGATATATATTGTAGAAGACAGTGTACTCCCTGCATACTTCTGACACCTAATCATGGCTACAGGACGTAATAATGCTGTCGCATTATATTACTTTCCTACTTTTTGTTTTACAATCGCGTTTATGTATAGATTTGCACAATCATTCGGATTTAGGAAATTTATAAGATAAGGGGTCGTGCACATCAATACGTCACGCAATTTTTGATCCTTTTCGACACCCCCCTCCCCCATGGCACAACGTCACGTCACATATGAGGCAAAATTCCTGAAATGTCCGAACAAAAAATTAAAAGTTCTCGAATTTAATCCATACTTTTCTAAAATGTTGTTATTGTTGGTGAAAGTCTAAAAATCAATTATTATTGAATTTAATAAAATAGTTTTTGAATTACAACGTTTTTAATTTTTGACTTTTAAAAAAAAAATTTTTTTTCAATGTACAATATTTATAAGTAGAATGCATAAAAGTTAACATATATATAATGATTTTTGAAGCTTTTTTGACGAGCTACACGCTGTTAAAAATTTTTTTTTTTAAATAACATTTGACCTTGAAATTCAAGGTCAAAATGTTAATTTACGTTTATCTCAAAATCGGATTTATTAAAATTATTTTTAACTATCTCAATGGAAAGCTTGACTAATTTCCTACAAAACATGTAATTTTCAGAGTGGGATCTTTTAAAGTTTTTGAGATATTAATTAATTAATTAATTAATGTTTATAACAAATGAAATATTTTACAAACGAATAAAGTTACCGTAATTCTGAAGTTAGTAATTGAAAGTTAACGTAATTCCGCATCCAACGAGCCCTATATGAAGTATTTTAGATAAGTAGATTGTTAATAAACAATTAGTTAACATTGCAATTGTTTATTAACAATCTACTAATCCAAAATACTTCATATAGGGCTCGCTGGATGCGGAATTAGCTTAACTTTCAATTGGTTAGTTTAGATTTACGATAACTTTATTTGTTTGTAAGATATTTCATTTTTTATTGTTATTTAACTAAAATTGAACTAAAATACTTCATATAGGGCTTTTGGATGCTTGTTGTTAGTAAAAAATAAAATATCTTACAAACAAATAAAGTTATCGTAAATCTAAACTAACCAATTGAAAGTTAAGCTAATTCCGCATCCAACGCATTCCGCATCCTACATGTTTTGTAGGAAATTAGTCAAGCTTTCCATTGAGATAGTAAAAAATAATTTTAAAAAATCCGATTTTGAGATAAACGTAAATTAACATTTTGACCTTGAATTTCAAGGTCAAATGTTATTTAAAAAAAAAAATTTTTAACAGCGTGTAGCTCGTCAAAAAAGCTTCAAAAATCATTATATATATGTTAACTTTTATGCATTCTACTTATAAATATTGTACATTGAAAAAAAATTTTTTTTTAAAAAGTCAAAAATTAAAAACGTTGTAATTCAAAAACTATTTTATTAAATTCAATAATAATTGATTTTTAGACTTTCACCAACAATAACAACATTTTAGAAAAGTATGGATTAAATTCGAGAACTTTTAATTTTTTGTTCGGACATTTCAGGAATTTTGCCTCATATACGTAATTTTTTTGGTACATTACATTAGACAGGAAAATTAAAAATCATACAAAACTTAAAACTTGTTAGTTTGCATTGGTGAAGTTCAAAACGTTTATGATAAACAATTTTGAAAAAAATATATTGTTCATTAAAAAAATAATGACTAATTTTTTTCCTACAAATTTTATTTCAAAACATTATTGACTAAGAAACGGTGAAAACAATTTTTTAGATCAAAAATAATAATAAATTGCATAGAAAAATATTTTTTTCTTCTCAATCGTTGATTAGAAACGTTGTGAAGTTTGTGTTAGTTTGGCGTTTTCGAGGTGCCTGAATTCGAATCCGATGTTAGTTTTTCAAAATTCAAAATGGCGGATACAATATGGGCAGGAAAATTAAAATCAATAGAATTTACTTAAAATTTGTTACTGAAGGGTTTTCGGGGCACGTGGTTCAATCTAGGGTTGTAGATAACTGTTAAACTATTAAATACCCACACAGCACAATATATTACATTGAGTTTACAGAGCTTACATGTAAGATATTAATGTATCATCGTAAACTTTTAGTAGACTTACTGTTAACTTGAAATGTCCGCTTCACTGTAAGCATGCATGTATGGTTGTGGTAAGCTTACATGGTAAGTCTTAGTTTGTTAAATAAAATTTACTGCGCAGCCGTAGGTAATATAGAAAACTACTGCACATAAATATTAATCAAATTTAATTATTAATAACATTGTAGGCTTACAGTAACCTTACAGCAAGCTCACAATCCCAGACATGTAGCTCGCACGCGTGCTGACACTAGACCAAATAGATTCCTCCTCATATGCGACGCATGTGAGTCGCACGCGTGAGGGTCGAATGCATTATGGTAAAATGAGACAAGATCATATTCTATTACTCATTTAAGTTAAATGGAATATAATATTTTACGTGATGCTGAAATGTAAAAATTGTCGTTAAACTCGACTATTAGACAAATTAATACACTTTTAGTATATACTTTAAACCGTCAATTAGAAAAGAGTTAAAGATTTCTAAATAAAAAAACGCGTTTTGACCCCAGTGACCTATACAAGAAATCAATTTAAATTTGGTTAAAGTCAATCTGTTATTTTAGCAATTTATTTATTTATAACAACAAAAATCTTAAATTGAAAATGTTGTAAAAATGACAGATTTAATAATTTCTAAGTTGAGTTTTTTTATCTTGCGATAGTTTTAATTAGTAATCTTAGTGAAAATGTAATGATTCATTTTCTTCTTTTATTCAAATTGCTTCATTTAAGAATACCCACAAAGCACGACTTCTTTTTGTGAGGTTACTGTAAGGATATCTGTAGGGTTTGTAAGGTTACGGTGTAAGCCTACAGTAAATTTGAGGTCATCTTAAAACTTCCGCCATTACAGTAAGCTTACACTGTAAAGCTAAGGTAAGCTTACACAGTAAGGTCGAGGTAAGTTTACATGGTAAGGTTGTGGTAAACTTACACGGTAAGGTTGCTGTAAGCTTCCCCTAAGGTTACTGTAAGGTTGCTGTAAGGTTACTGTTAACATAGAATGTTATT